ACAAGAGTGTCCTATAAGAGTGTCCCACAAGAGTGTCCTACAAGAGTGTCCCACAAGAGTGTCCCACAGAGTGTCCCACAAGAGTATCCTACAAGAGTGTCCCACAAGAGTTTCCTACAAGAGTGTCCCACAAGAGTTTCCTACAAGAGTGTCCCACAAGAGTGTCCTACAAGAGTGTCCCACAAGAGTGTCCCACAAGAGTGTCCCACAAGAGTGTCCTGCAAGTGACCCACAAGAGTGTCCTACAAGAGTGTCTCACAAGAGTGTCCTACAAGAGTGTCTCACAGTGTCCCACAAGAGTGTCCTACAAGAGTGTCTCACAAGAGTGCCGTACAAGAGTGTCTCACAAGAGTGTCCCACAAGAGTGTCCCATAAGAGTGTCCTATAAGACTGTCCCACAAGAGTGTCCTACAAGAGTGTCCCACAAGAGTGTCCCACAAGAGTGTCCTATAAGAGTGTCCTACAAGAGTGTCCTATAAGAGCGTCCCACAAGAGTGTCCTACAAGAGTGCCCCACAAGAGTTTCCTACAAGAGTGACCCACAAGAGTGTCCCACAAGAGTGTCCTACAAGAGTATCATTTGGACATATGTAGTTTTTCGATCGTGCTTCCATTCGGGTTCGTGGGTTCGACCTTGTTTTTTCCCAGCCGCATTCCTAAACATGTACTGTAACTCAACATTTTTCTCTTGCGGACGACCGGGAAAATGTAGATTACATGTTCGCACGTCACCTCTGCACTAGGGGTGGGATATATCTATATATATATAGATAATAGATATAGATACATACAGTGTGTACATTGTACATTATATATATATGATTCTTTTATGATATATGATCATATTTACCATGCATCATTTCCCAGCCATGCGTTGCTTTATCCTTGCTCACTCATGGGCACAGGTGGCTGGTGCAATCCAAGATTATGATGTTGGAATTTCGATCATGGAAGATGATTTTCGCCAGCACCCGGAAAGGATGATGTATAGTGAGTATCCTGACGCGCTGGTGAAGCGTGGCCTGGCAAAGGTGACGCAGTGCCAAACCTCGGTGGTCTAAGTTTGGAAATGAAGGACGTGACACGGTTTGGGACGTGTCTCCTGTGCTCCACTCTGCCCTGTGAAGGAAGGATTGCAGAACTGGAGTGGTGCCGTGCAGGACTACACCACAGCAATTGATGCACTTCGACCGAAAGATGGCCGAGATGATATCGCTCTGACTGGAAATGCAAGGATGCAAGACACCTGGCGGCTGTTTTGCTCAGGGGTTAGGCAAATTGTTAACTGGTTGTCTATGCCGTTCGCTGTCCAGGTTCTGAGGTGTTCAGAGGTTGGTGGTGTGTGGCGTTTGGGCCAAACGATTCGATGATGTTGGTTGCAGTTCTATGGTGAACTGAATTGGTGTTGACATTCTTTATTATTTTGGCTCGTTATTTATGTATATAGTATGTGTACACATATATATATAGTTATTTATGCATTTTTTAAAACAGACTGCATATCTATAGTTTGTTCCAATTGTGTGCAATACGTATTTTGGGCTCAGCCTTCCAGGAAGGTGATGGCTTGGGCATGAACCCACTGATTTTGAACTTTCGTGGCAACGCCTTGGGCCAACTTGGACGTTACGATGAAGCTGTTGAAGACTACCAGGAGGCCATCCAGATCTTTGATGCAGATGGAGAGGCAAGTTGCATTTCCGTTGTCATGAGGCTAGTTTCCGGCTCACGTACATAGAGCTGACCAACTGGACAACTCCAGAACAAAACCCAAAATCCTCTTGTGATGCCCCATGATTCATACCCAAAGGAGGCCTGCCTCGCGTTGCATCTTCGTGTGGGGCAGAATGATGTTTGCGGGCTTGGAGACAGATGCTGTTGATTTTGCCTACGTCGTCCCGTTGGCATTGTTTGCCAGGTGCGTCAGGCGTCTTTGTCCCGCGCAAATATGGGTCTAGCGCTCTTCGGTGCTGGCAGGGAACCTGAAGCTCAGCTAACTATGGAAAAGGCCAGGACAGGGAAAGATCTATTTGTGTAAGATTGTATAAGCATTTTCCTGCACTGCTCTTTGATCTCCAGGTTGTTCGCAATGATCCTGGTGTGACCGATGCTCATGTCGCGTTGGCTGCTTGGTATTGGGTGTGCGAGCGAGCAGCCGAAGCTGAGTCTCAATGGCAGTTTGCCTGTGAGAAGATTGACACGGGTTGCCAGGCCTACAAGGAGACGGTGGCTAATTAAGTCTCCGCCGGAGAGCTCCTGCAGCACCCACAACAATGGTCTTCATTTCTAATGGGCGTTACGATTTGATATCAGAATCTGCATATGTCTGGGCCACGAAAGGCTTACTGTATCAGGTAACCCTCCGGCTGCTTGAGCTCTCCAAGCTTTGGCTTAGAGTGTTCCCTGGAGGGTTTGTTTCGGTGCCTGATCTTGCGTTCTCTGAGCGGGGTGCCCCGTTCAATGCCCCCTGGTCCTGTGTTTTTGGGAGGTGATCCAGCCTCCTCCTCGTAATTTTGTTCGTTCTCATGACTCATGCTCATGATGCTCATGCTTTTGCTTATCCTCCTCCTCCAGCCAGCCAATAGTGAGCCTCTTTGCTGCAACGAATGTGGCTTGAGTCCTTGACCAGTGGGCATGTGCCTTTTTGTGTCCCAGACTACTGCTGGCACTGGTGCATTGTGAGCTGTGAGCTTGAGCTTTTGCTTCCAGCCTCGAGGTATCCTGGTCCCAACTCCAGGCATGTCAGTCCACAATTTTGTAGCCCCTACCGTATTAATTGGCCGCAAACACGGAGCACAAGATAAAGCGGCAATTCTTATGAGAGGAGGGTGTCTGACTCAATCCCGACTGGACTTTAGGTGGCTCTATAGAACGCCTGCCAATCCTTGGCTGAAAGAAAACTGCAACTGACCTAGATTCAGGCTCCAGTCTCCTAATATATAGTATATAGTGGACTAGCGTAAACGCGCACACACAGCTCCCCCTCCCTCTCTACACAAAGAAGATGCAGCTCAATAAGTTTGTGCAACTTTTGCTCAGAAGGATCCATGTAGACATCAGGGAACCGGGAAAGTGTCAAACGGAGTGACACGACATCACGCAAGACGCAGATGAACAATCCCCTCAGAAAACAACATGCAACGATACCACACATAGTGAGACAACTGGCAGGCAGTTATTTTACCCTGGATCTTGGTTGTGTGGTCAAGTCTCTTTGACTTGCTGTCGGGTTTTTACATGGACATGGTTCTGATAAAGAGTACGTAAGCAGCATTGTCAGCGCATTGCTGGACCTGCGGCAGGACATGAAATGGGTGTCCGAGATTCGTCGCTGGCCTCCTTCGCTTGTATCATCACTGCAGAAGTTCTTGTCCAAAGCTAATTGATATGTGATTGAAAAGAGATGAGTGGTGCCTTGGTGTGATGTGGGTTAGAGTGGATGAAAACTAAGTGATTAAGAGGGTCCCGTGCCTCCTACCAGATAGAACCACCAAAGTGATTCTGAGCTAGCGGCCTATCGGGGTAGTCTTCACTGCGCCGCCTTTGTGGTGGTGGTGGTGGAGCTGGTCCTTCTTGCCACAGTCATCGTTGTCATTGGCATTGCCAGCATTGCTCTGGTGATGTAGGGCCCGTGTGGGCATGTCGCTTTGTGGCATGTTGAGCAAGTGTTGCCGTGCTTGTGCCTCGATACTACCTGAATGGCTCAGTTTTGGGGTTCACAGCACTAGGTTGTGAACACTGTAGCTCTTCGAACGGTTCAGAGGACGAATGTTCTGAGAATGGCACGGTAAAGCATACGATGCATGCATATACTGTATTTGGCATCGCAACACAGTCTACAGTGTCTACAGACGGTAGTGAAGTTCGGTAGGCTGTTTGAAGTTCGGTCAACGTCTTGGCCTTTGGGGCCTGGGCGCAGAGATGGCCATCATGCCCTTGCCAGCGCAATGCCTCAGCATGCGGCTGAAGATTGTTGCAGACGAGCGTCTTGGCACGGTGACACAAGTTTGTGTCAGCCTTTTTGGGATATTGTCTCGTAAGCAGAGACGCAGCCAAGGTTCTCGTCCTGGGCTGCCTACTTGCCAAGGTCCACGGATGAATCAAACAGCAACAAGGCCAGGTTTCCATTGGTTTGGTTCAGAATATTTCCTGCTTCCAATTGCCTCGAAGTCTTGCGAGAGAGTGACAGGGAGAGGAAGCATCGTCAAATTGCCACTTCAATTCGCTTCGATCCTTTTCGTCCATTTTCGCTTCTTAACACACCCTGCAGGAAGCCCAGGCCACGCTCTCGGATTTTGTTGGCACACAGGTCACAGGCGTGCCTGGCAATGGATAAGCATCAAGGAAGTATGTGGTTGCATGATGCATGCCGAGCCTCTGGAACCCTGGAATATCCAAAACGTGTTCGTGACTTTTTTTTTTGTTACAGCATATGCAACCCTTTGGATCTTCAGAATAGTGTAATGTATGCGGTGTGCTGTTCCAGGGCATGTTTGGCAGCTCTCGCTCCGGCAGCGTGGTAGCCGGGCTGTGCAGGTGTGGAGTGTGAAACAGTTCAGTACATATATAATATATATATATATATGCAACATAAAGTTGTTGACTCAAGCTCCTCCATGCACTTTCACCCTGCCTTTGCACACGTTCAGTATGGTTCATTTGTAGCCTTGATGCCAGGAGGCAATCGAGCTCTGTGGTACCGACGACGAGCGCGAGGCTATTGCGAGTGAGCTGGCGGGCCACATCTGGGAGGCACAGTAGTTTGCACCAGCATGCTCGCCAGTGGGCTAATAGGAAGGTGGACCGCTGGGTTAAGGGGACATGTTGCAATCACAAGGTATATAGAACAACCTCTCTTTCTCTTCCACTCGCCAATTAACGTCGAACGTCCGTGGCAGCCGCATGCAGTTAAATTGCGATGTCGAACGGGATGAACATTCCGGATTGGTTTCGGATATTTTGGAATCTACAGCTCAACGACCTGATGACAATAGGTTCACAAACCGCTGAACGCATCCAAGAAGTCCGGGAAAGCTCTTAGGTCGCTTGAAACCCCTTGCTTTCACCAACAGACTGATCTTCTATTCGAACCGGCACGACCGGAATTGATGCGTGCCAGCTCATTGAGATCTACCAGGGCATTCGGAGCAACAATGCCCAAGCCCACAAAGCTGCTGCTGCCAAAGGCAGCGGCTATTGAACACAATAAGGACGGGTCTTGGAGAACGCTCGATCTCACCGTGAGGCTCCTTTGAAGGAGTGCACACCCGCGTGGTGTGCAGTCTTCGTGGAGCTTTTTGCTCACCTGTACCCAGCGACAGGACGGGATGAGCTGCCCAGCGAGTTCCTTGAAGGGGTTGAGCAATTAAGGTCCGGTTTACCATATGGTTTGGCCCGTCGCGAAAACTTGTTTGTTCTTCGCCGGCTGATGCGGCCATGTTGCCCATCCTTGCCAGGTATTCCAAGCTTTCGTCTTTCCTTCCCTTGCCTCCATCCCATTTGTAATCTGTGATGGGTGCTCAGCAAATCAAGTGCTCTACCAAACCTGGCTTGCTGTCTCCTCCACAAGTAGGTTGCCGATCTCGTCTCACGCACGAACTTCCTCGCTGACCTCTGAACGAAGGGTTTGCCAAGACGGACTGCTACAGTGCTTCCCCGTCTTAAACCAGAAATCCAGCCCTTGGATCTATGGCGATGGCGCACGCGTGGGAAATGTCGCTGACGACACCCTTTGAGCCAACCCTTCACATGGTCAAAAGTCAAAACAGCTTTTCTTTTTGGATAGAACAGCACGACAGAAGGGAGGGCAGGACGAGGGTTTGAAGAGACAGTGAAAGCTTGTTTGTTGACAGGCAGTGAGATGCCCTCATGCAAACTTTGTGGTACAGCGCCTGATTGTAGCTCTGAAGCCCAGCGCATGCCAGCTACCTGGATGCAAAAGAGTCCTAGATGGTCGTAAGCTGCTATGCCTTATGTTATAGCTGCTATGCAGGCTCCTTCTAGGCTCCTCTCGCTGGTGGTGTTGGGAGGTAAGCTGCGGGAGAGATTAGCAGCGTTGTTTGGGTTTTGGCAGCTTCAAGTGGCTTTGTCCGTGTTGGTCTGGGATGTGCTTCGCTGTGACAACTCCAGAAGATCCAAAATCATGGGCATAAATAATCATAATAGCATATATAATTAATGTATACTTAGCGCCCACATTGAGGATGCTTAGAGCACTCTATATATATATATATA